GTCCATTCCAGATGGAACTTTTAATGCTGACTGGAATTCTCTTGGCCACCCTTTGTGAGTGGTACCTGTCCCCTGAAATACAGGTCGCTGAGCATCGTTACATTTAGCAAGTGCTACATAACAGACCACTCAAAACGCAATGACTTAAAACAATAACCATTCCTTTATTATTTTGACGGCTCTGGGGATTGACTGGGCTCAGCTAAGCAGTTCTCAGGGGCTCTTGTGCAGGTGCCGTCAGGCAGTGGTTGGGACTGGGTCATCTGAGGGCTCATTCACTCCTCTCTGTAGCACCTTGGACGGGGAGACCCAAACAGCTGGGGCTCCCAAGCATGTCTATCTCCCTGTGTATCTCCAGTGTGACGACTTCAGGGCAGCCAGACTTACATGGTGACTCAGGCCGTGGTGTGCTGGAGCTGGCTCACACTGGATCCTGGAAGCACGTTGTGGACAGCTCTTTCCAACGCCAAAGTCCAGGGACGTCGTGTTGGTAGCTTGTTGTCAGCCATGGAAGGTGTATACACACCACAGAAATCAGCAAATGCTACACACCCAGACTCTTTTCTTTTTTTCCCCTACAGAGCCAGTTGTTAAACGTTTTAGGAGCACACCGCTGGACTCACGGCTCCCCATGCACGCATCCCCAGAGAGTCAGGCAGAGGCTGTATCCTCTTTCCTGACCCAGCCTCTGAAATCCCTTAGCAATGTCACTTCTGCAATGCTCTGAAAGGCGAAACAATCCCAAAGGCCTGCCCATGTCAAGGGGAGGGCTGTGGACACCACTCCTTAATGGAGAACGGCCAGTCCCTGGAAAAGAGCACATCAGTTTGGATACGTTGTTATAACCATCTGGGGAAGATGTCTGCCATGCATCACAGGTCCCTGGAAACCGAATATCAGTACCATCCCCCAGTCACTGTGACAACCAATGCAATATCCTCCCCACCAAACACACCCCCCCACACACACTCCCAAACACCCTAGCAGCAGGCAGCGCCGTGCCATTCTGACCCAGCCAGTCGTTGGCATTCAGCCGTGTTGGACATGCTGGCTACAAGGCACCTCGTGGTCCTCAGGAGAGCATCACACACAATCATTTTGAATACCCAGGGCTCGTATGGTACATCACTTGAAGGTCCTTGCCCCTCAGTGAAGTCTGGCTGCCCTCGTTGTGTGAGGGGACCACCCCCAGCTCCAGGGATCCCCTGTTTGCCAGTGATCGGCACACATCCATACCGGGCAAGCTGGTGGATTCGCTTGTAAATTGCAGCTAATTATTAATGCAGCTAATAACCACCTGGGGCAAAGCACACCCTAGTCTCTAAAGCGTGTCTCTACAACTTCAGTTCTCTGTTGTGGGGATGAAGGGGAATCGGGCTTTGTGCCACGTCCACGGACCACTGGCTTGATAGAGCTTTAATCCTTAACAAGACCTTAATCAATTTATTTCAAAATAGTAACAGCTGACATGAATGGAGCACTTACTGGCATTAGATAGTATAACAAGCATTAGATCATTGAAGCCTCTTAACCCAGGGCAACCTCCAAGGATTGTTTTGGACATTAAAACACGATGATGGGATTCAGTGCGATGATCCAGCTTAAATGCTCAGCACGGGTGGTTTAGTAAGGGCTCAGTAAATGTCACCAGATGAAAATATTGTAGCTAAATGGTTGCTCGCCACCTTTTTATGGTGTGTAATAATAATAGCAACTAACATAATTTAGTGTCTAATATTATATCAATACCACTTTTATTTATGAAACACCAGCGATTATTTAAGCGCTTTACAAATAAATATTAATTCGTTTCATCCTCACAATAACCCTATGAAGTGGGTAAGGTTAACATCCTCATTTTCAGAAGAGGAAACTGAGGCATAAAAAGTTGAAGTGACTTGCCCTTGAGGCAAGAGGCTTAGCTGGGACTCAAACCCAGGCTGGCTGGACCCAGGCATGAGCATTTCATCACTAAGCTCTTCTGCCCTGATGGGGAAATGAAATGCGTTTCTCACTAGGTCTTGAACTATTCACTGAGTTCTTGTTAAATAAAGGTGTTTCACCTTGCTATGCCTCAGTTTGCTCATCTGTGAAGTGGGTTTCTTTAGGGAAGAATAAAGTAAGAAAATGGGAAGGAGGAGGAGGTGATGGTCATGAGGCCCTGAAATTGTAAATAATGTGGCCAGGGACAGTCTCATGGAGAATTTGACATCTGAGCAAAGACTGAAGGGAATGTGGAGGTGAGCCAAGAAATGCTCTGGTTCCAGGTGGAGGAAACAGCCTGTGCAAAGGCCCTGAGGTGTGGAGGCCGGTGTGGCTGGGGCAGAGTGAGTGAGGGGGAGATGAGGGCAGGGAGGTGATGGGTACAGATCGTGTGGGGCTTGTGGGCTGCATTGAGGACCTTGCCCTGACCCTGAGTGAGGTGGAGCCACAGGAGGGCTCTGAGCAGGGCAAGGACAGGACCTGACTCAGGTGTTCACACCTGATAGCTGGGGAAAGGAGCAGGGAGACAGTAATGGTCCAGGTGAGAGGTGATGGAGAATAGAGGAGGTTCAAAGACTCATCCCTGGGACTTCCCTGGTGGTGCAGTGGTTAAGAATCTGCCTGCCAATTCAGAGGACACGGGTTCGAGCCCTAATCGGGAAGATCCCACATGCTGCAGAGCAACTAAACCCGCACGCCACAACTACTGAGCCCGCGTGCCACAACTACTGAAGCCCACACACCTAGAGCCCGTGCTCCGCAACAACAGAAGCCACCTCAATGAGAAGCCCATGCACCCCAACAAAGAGTAGCCGAGTAGCCCCCGCTTGCTGCAACTAGAGAAAGCCCATGCGCAGCGATGAAGACCCAACGCAGTCAAAAATAAATAAATTTGTTTTTAAAAAAAAGACCGATCCCTGACACTGAAATCAGAGGGAGGAGGAAGGAACAGCTGAGGAGACCAACTAGGAGCCACAGGCAGACGGGAGGGGTTCAGAGGGACGTGCTGGCCCAGAGCCAAGTGAGAAGAGCGTCACCTCACCGTGTCAGGTGCTGCTGACAGGTCAAGCAAGGTGAGGACTGAACAGTGACTACTGGCTCAGCACCAAGGGGGGGGTCATTGATGACCTTGACATTTCAGGGTAGAGAAGGAGGGCAAAGTCTGATTAGAGAAGGTTTGAGAGAGAAGATCAGTAGAAAATATGGAGGCAGTGAGTGTGACAACTTTTTGGAGAAGATTTACTATAAAGAGGAGCAAAGAAATGGGGTCAGAGCTGGAAGGGGAGGTGGAGTCAAGAGGAGTTTAATTTGTTTTCAAATGAGAGATGACTCTGTGCGAGCTGACGGGAATGATCCAGTGCAGAGGGGGAAGCTGAAGGTGCAGCAGAGAGAGGGGAGAACTGTGAGACGGTGACCTGGGGTGGGAGCAGTCACGGTGGGAAAGCACAGGTGGTACATGGGGCGGTGGGGGTCTCTGGATGTTCACTTCCCATCGATTTTAGTTTTTCTGGAAAATAAGAAGCAAGGAGGGAATTCCCTGGTGGTCCAGTGGCTAGGACTCCGTGTTTCCATTGCAGGGAGCATGGGTTCGATCCCTGGTAGGGGAACTAAGATCCCCCATGCTGCACAGCGCGGCCAAAAAAAATTAAGAAGCAAAGAGAGAGTGAAAAGGTGGAAGGAAGTGTGATGTGTTGGGGATAGGGGAGAAGGTGTGAAATAGTTATCTACAGAGAGGAAGAGCAAGAGGATAAGAGAAATATAATCTGATTGCCAGGCAGCACTGTGGGTACGCTTGAGCATCAAGCGCACAAACTTAAAGTGAGGCCAGCCAGTGGAGTTGTGTGTTGCTCTTCAGCTGCTTTAAACTGTGCGGGTACAGGCACAGGTAGGTGGAGGGCTGGATTTAACCGGGGCACGCGTTGGAAGAAGCCGGAGGAGGCAAGGGTGTATGCAAAGAATGTTTTAAATGATTAACCAAGGAATTTAAGCTGGATAAGGAAGAACTGAGGACTTGAGGGGGTGTGGTGCAGTGAAAAAGAGGTAGGGACAAAGGATGGGAGATCAGAGTGGGTTGGAAGGACTGTGTGTGTGGCGGGGGGTAGGTCTAGGGCACTGGAGGGAGAGACCTGGAAAGAGAGGAGGTGATGCGTGGGGAGTGAGAAGCCTGAGGCTGAGGCTCTGAAGAGGCTGTGGTTACTGAGACAAGGTGTAGGTGCGACCACGGGATGGAGGGGCTAGAAGAACAGCTGGTCAGGGAACAAGAGAGGCCTGGTGGCAGAAGGAAGGATCGTCATCCTGGATACGGAAATCACCAAGAATGTTGATAAGAGCAGCTTGAGTGGCTGTGAGCCTGGAGCTAAAATCATGGAGAAGTGAGGGGTAGTCATCTGGGTCAGCAGATTATGACAAGGTGACAAACGATCTACCCTGATGATGAGATTCATAGCTGCGGCATTTGGGGGAGGATGGAGGGAGAATCTCTGGAAACAGCACCAGGGAGCAAGGAGATTTACCCACTTGGAAGGCTCACAGGACAGCTGGGTTCTGGTTAGAGCAAAAATGTGACAAGAATCTTCAGCGAAGAGATTGAAGAAATAGATTTTGCTGAAGGACAGGTCCTGGATTTCAAAGGCCCTAGAGTTGGGACAGGTTGGGGGATGGGATGGAAATGGTTTCCTCCTCGGTGGATTTTTCTCATGGGTCTTCAGTGTGCATATGTAAAGTGCTTAGCCAGACACAAGTGCACCGGCCAGAGACAGAAGTCGTGGTTAGCAGTCCTGGTGGGGTCGTGATCAGGCCAGGGGTTTGCTGCTTGAGGGGGAAAGGTGGGGAGAAACCGGTCCCCGTCCAGAGCCAAGTGGTAGGAAATAGATGCTGCATTTTCTTGGTTATGGCAGTCCCCCGGTCGCCCGTGTACCTGGTGAGGTCACGGTCAAGTCGCAGGGGACTTGCGTCCTGGAAGGAGAAGTGGAGGGAGGCCGGGCTGCTCTGACCCGCCGACCCCTCTCGACCTGCAGGACTCTGGCGGCCGGAGATGGGCGCCCGGCTTTCGCGGCGGCGGCTGCCCGCGGACCCGCCCATAGCCTTGGACGCGCTGCCGCCGGAGCTGCTCGTGGAGGTGCTGAGCCACGTGCCACCGCGAGCGTTAGTGACGCGCTGCCGCCCAGTGTGCCGCGCCTGGCGCGACGTGGTGGACGGGCCCACCGTGTGGCTGCTGCAGCTGGCCCGCGACCGCAGCGCGGAGGGCCGCGCTCTCTACGCGGTGGCCCAGCGCTGCCCGCCCAACAGCGAGGACGAGGAGGAGTTTCCGCTCTGCGCCCTGGCGCGCTACTGCCTGAGAGCGCCCCTCGGCCGCAACCTCATCTTCAACTCCTGCGGAGAGCGTGGGTGCCGGGGGCAGGGGCTAGCAGCAGGGGCGGGAAAAAAGAGACCAAAAGGATGTGTGTCCTGGGGACCCAGGCGAGGTGGAGTGAGTGGGCGCGGCCAGGGTGAAGCAGACAGGGGCGGGGCCGGGAGCCAGGGGACGTGGTCGAGGCTCTTGGGAAACTGGGTGGGAGGAGCCAGGGGCTGTGGGCCGTATAGCGAGCCAAGATGGCTGGGCGAGACAGAGCAGGAGGATCCAGGGGACTGGGCCGGGAAGCTATGCTTGAACTGTAGATTAGGTGGGCGCGGTTAAAGGGGGAGGAGCCCGGGGAGGCCTGGGGAGAAGCCGATTGGGTGCTGGCAGGGGCGGAGCTTGCATAGAAATATAAGGTCGTATTGAGAGGCTGTGGGGAGGGGAACTGAGTAAGTGGGCGAGACCAAGGTAGGAGGGGCCCGGAAGCGGTGGTGTAAGGAGCCCGGGGCGGGGCCAGAATTGAAGCCCTGTAGTTTGAGAGTGAAGGGAGGCAGAACAGGGGGCGGGGCCTAGAGAGGCTGGGGTGAAGCTGAGTGGATGGGCAGGGCTGAGTGACGCCGTTGTGGGGTGGGACCACGAATACAGCCTGCTGGGAGGGAGGAGCTGGTGGGCGGAGCAAGCTAGGTGGTGGCGGGTTGTCTGCGGGACGAGCTGGCGGGCGAATTCCTGGTGTTCAACCCTTTTATATCTCACAGAGGGCTTCAGAGGCTGGGAGGTGGAGCACGGCGGGAATGGCTGGGCTGTGGAAAAGAACCTAATACTGGTGCCGGGCGCTCCTTCCCAGACCTGCTTCGTGACTTCTTTCGAGTGAGTGGCCCTTGATCCCTGGTGCGAGGGAGGGGGACTCTACCCTACCGTCCTCATCCTCACCCTCACCCACTTTCAGCCTCTCCTTCGCACATTCATTTGTTCAGTCAGTCAACCAGCTAATATTTGTTAAGGGCCTACCAGGTACCAGGCACTGTTTTACATGTCAGAGACACAAGGAAAATTCAGAAAGATCAGGAACCTGCTCTTTTTTCATTTGCATTTTAGATGTAGGGTTGGGGAAGCCATTAAACGCATAAACAGTAAAAAACAAACAAACAAACAAACATAATAAACATTTAGAGGGCTTACTCTATGCCAGATGCTTTACATGTAAATTTTTAAATCCTGGCAATAACCCTATGACACAAATACCATTATTATAAATGGTGGATCTGGGATTCGAACCCAGGTAGTCTGACTTCAGAGCTTCTGATGGTGATAAATGCTGTGAAGACATAAAAACAGTTTGATTGGCTGATTCTCTGTATCCTCATACCCCATACCCATTTTCCTTGTGCCCTCCCCCCACAGTCAACCATTCTCGTGGCATCTAGCTTTCTAGTAGTTACCAGTATATTAGGGGTGACGGGATATCTCATTGTTATTTTAATTTGCATGTTTCAGTTTACTAATAATTAAACATCTCTTCATGTGCTTGTTAGCTTTTTGGATTCCCTCTTTTGTAAGTTGCCTGTTCATATTTTCTATTAAGGTTGATATCTTATTCTCGTTGATATACAAGAATTTCTTGTATATTCTAGCTGTCAGTCCCTTGTCCATCCTGGACATTATAGAAATCCCCCACTCTACCATCTGCATTAACTATGTCCATGGTGTTATTTGGTATTTACATATGATCAAATTTATCTTTTTGCTTTAGAATTTGTTTTTTGAAATTTTGTTTAAAAAATCCTTCCCTACCCTTAGATCCTAACAGTGTTCTCTTATACTCTCTTCTAGTAACCTCATAGTTTTATCTTTTACATTTAGATCTTTAATCCACCTTGAATGTGATGTTAGGTAAGGATCCAGTTTTCTTTTTATCCCCCTCCTTATATTGAGCCAGTTTTCCCAACACCATCTACTAAAGAATCCTTCCCTTCCCCCATGGAATGGCGGTGCCACCTCTATCATTTATGAAGTTCCCATACAAACCTAGGTCTATCCTTGAGCACTCTGTTCAGTTCTGGTCAATTTATCAGTTCTTCTGATAAATCACTACTTCTGTTATTATGGTACATTGAAATTCGAGGAGAAGGACTGTTTACAAAGGTGCAGGCAGAACACAAGAGATACTACAGGACTCTAGGCTAGTAACAGTGGGGGGAAGGGACCTTACCACCCCTAGGCCTGGCAGGGGTAAGGGGAGGAAGCAATTACCGAAACATGAAGACAGAGAGGGCTGGGAGGAGAGGGCACTGTGGAGAGGGCCCTTTCGTTGAGAAATACAACAGTCCCACGATGATCCCTTGGGAGGGAGCCAGGAGAATAAATACCCTGATTTCACTCTCTTCTCCCTTCTATCTGCTGCTGGAGCTTCCCATTGGCTGACCCAACAGGAAGTAGAGGGTAAGGGAGACCCTTCCATACAGGCAACACAACCTTAGACCATGGGCTTCTTGGTGCTTGAGGAGATCCCAGAATTCTCTGCTCAGATGTCTAGTATGTGGGCCTCCATTTGTATTCATGTCCTGGTCCCCACAAATATTAGGGGCAGGCCTGCATACAGTCAGCCTCCTGGAGTCCACAGCAGAGTGAAGGGTGGAGGGGATCTGAGAGGCCAGTGGGGTTGCACAGCCCATCATACATCTTGTCTGGTAGAGCAACCCTGATGGGCTGCTTTAGACAGGGTAGTCAGGGGAGGCTTCTGGGAGGAGGTGATTTCTGGGCTCACTTGAATGATGGGACTCTCTACCCCCCCACCCATCCTATCATCCCCCCTTCCTAGATGGTGCTTCAAGAGGCAGCTTGTGGACTTGGTGATGGAGGGTGTGTGGCAGGAGCTGCTCGACAGCTCCCAGATCGAGATCTGTGTGGCCGACTGGTGAGTGGAGAACCCCCCGTGGTGGCAGCAGTTCTGCAGAAGGGAGTCATTTCACACCCGCATCAACTCCACGGGCTGGCACGGCTACTGTGCCCCCTTCATAGTGAGGCTGACAGAGGGGAAGCGATGCTCTCATAGTAGCAGAGCCAGGGAGGGGCGGAACTTTGGTGAGCCCAGAACCCCCAGATTCCTACACCCTCAAGCTCCTCCCCAAGGTTGTGGTTCCTTCCCAGAACACCATTACCTCCCCACCCCCCTCCATATACACCTGACCCAAAGCCTCCTGAATCTGCCCCCAGGAGCACCCAGGCTCTTCCCCCAGGCCCTGGCTCCACCCCAGGGGCACCTAGGCTCCTCCCCCTAGTTTCCCAGGCTTAACCTCATCAAAGTGCAGGGAGGCCAGACCTCAGTCGCCCTCCCCAACCCAGAAATCTGAGCGGGTGGTGAGGCTATCAAGGCTCACTGCCACCCGGCAGGTGGGGTGCCCGGGAGAACTGCGGCTGCATCTACCGGCTCCGCGTCCGCCTCCTGGACATGTACGAAGACGAAGTGGCCAAGTTCTCGGCATCACCCAACCCGGTCCTTCAGTGGACTGAAAGAGGCTGCCGACAGGTGGGTCCAGACTACCTCCCTGACCCAGAGGCACACCCACCTCTCACCCTGCTCAAATTCTGCTCTCAGCACTGCTGGGTATCTATAACAACAGCTAACAATCATTGAACCCTTATTACAGGCCTGCCCAAGAGTTTCACCCATTAATTCATTTCATTAGCACAATGGCCTCGTTGTTCAACAGACATTTTTGAGCACCTACTGTGTGCCTGCTATGCTCTAGTTGCTAGAAATGCAGCAGTGAACCAAAGTCCTTGCTCCATCCCCATTCTAGAGTTGGGGAAACTGAGGCATGGGAGGTTAGGTGACTGGCCCGAAGTCACCCTAAAGCGTGCAGGGCGTGATTCAACCCCAGGCTGGCTCCTGAGCCTAAACTGTCATGGTCATCATACCTCACTTATCAAAGTAACCTTTTAGGTGGTCTTTTGGTTTCCATTCCTGATCTCTTCCCACCCACCCCCAACCCAACACACAGACTCAGCATCCAGAAAGCTCCTATTAAAAAGTGAGTCAGGGGCTTCCCTGGTGGCGCAGTGGTTAAGAATCCGCCTGCCAATGCAGGGGACACAGGTCGAAGCCCTGGTCTGGGAAGATCCCACATGCCGCGGAGCAACTAAGCCCGTGCGCCACAACTACTGAGCCTGCAGTCTAGAGCCCGTGCACCTAAAGCCCATGCTCCACAGCAAGAGAAGCCACCGCAATGAGAAGCCCGAGTACTGCAACAAAGAGTAGCCCTCGCTCGCCGCAACTAGAGAAAGCCCGCGTGCAGCAATGAAGACCCAACACAGCCAAAAATAATAAATAAAATAAGTTTATTTTTATTTTATTATTACTATTTTTGCGGTACGCAGGCCTCTCACTGCTGTGGCCTCTCCCGCTGCGGAGCACAGGCTCCGGACGCGCAGGCTCAGCGGCCATGGCTCACGGGCCCAGCCGCTCCGCGGCATGTGGGATCCTCCCGGAACGGGGCACGAACCCGCATCCCCTGCATCGGTAGGTGGACTCTCAACCACTGCGCCACCAGGGAGGCCCATAAATTTATTTTTTAAAAAAGGTGAGTCAGACCACGGATCTCACCTGCTTGTAACCCTTCCGTGGCTACATCTCAGAGCAGAAGCCAACAGCCTATCATGCAGCTATAAAAAGGAATGAAGTACAGATTCACACTTCAACATGCGTGAGCCTTGGAAACTGTGCCAAGTGAAAGAGGCCAGACACAAAGGGCCACATATTGTATGACTGCGTTTATATGAAATTTCCAGAATAAGCAAAGCCATAGAGACAGAAAGCAGATAGATTACTGGTTGCCAGAGGATAGGGGGAGGGAGGAATTGGAAGTGACAGCTAAGGGATTCGAGGTTTTCTTCCTGGGGTGATGAAAATGTTCCAGAATTAGATAGTGGTGATGATTGCATAACATTACGAATACACACACACACACAAACAAAAAAACCACTGAATTGTACAGTTTTAAATGGTACATTTTATGTTAGGTGGATTTCAGCTCAATTTAAAAAATTAAAGAAGATTTAAAAAGCCAGAAGCCAGGGACTTCCCTGGCAGTCCAGTGGTTAAGACTCCACGCTTCCACTGCAGGGGGCGTGGGTTCAATCCCTGGTCAGGGGAACCAAGATCCCACATGCCGAGTGGCGTGGCCAAAAAAAAAAAAAAAAAAAAAAGCCAGAAGCCAAAGTCCTTCTGTGGCCAATCTCAAAGGCCCCACACGATCTGCCAGCTACCTCCCTGACCCCATCTCTTACTTCTCCCCTCACTCTGCTCCAGGCACACTGCCACCTCAGGGCCTTTGCACTGACTGTTCCTCTGTCTGGAACACTCCAGATCCCCACTTGGCTCCCCCGCCCCATCAAGTCTCTGTCATCTCAGTGGGGCCCTTGCTTTACAATCCCACCTCCTGCAGTATTTCCTCCGCCCTTTCCCCCATCTGTCTTCAGCGTCACAGTCTAGACTCTCAGCTTCGCCAGGATACGATCTTTTGGCTGCTTTCTTCACGGCTATATCCCCAGCGCCTGGAGCAGGGCCAGGTACCTACTTGGTGTTGGGGAATATCTGTTGAGGTTGCGGAGGAAGAGAAGTCCATGGAGCCTCACTCCCTCACTCTCCTTCCCTGCACAGGTCTCCCACGTCTTTACCAACTTTGGCAAGGGCATCCGCTATGTGTCTTTTGAGCAGTATGGAAGAGACACGCGTTCCTGGGTGGGGCACTATGGTGCCCTCGTGACCCACTCCAGCGTGAGGGTCAGGATCCGCCTGTCCTAGCTAACCAGCCTGATCCAGCCTTCTGGGACAGACCGCCATCTGCCAGACACCATCGTCAATCAAGGTCGGCTCTGCAGCCACGAGCCGGAGGATGCCCGAGGACAGTGGGGGTCCCGTGTAGCCTGTTCCCGGAATGTTTCCAGTGAACCCCACTTGCTGCTGCTTCAGCGTGGTGGCCCCCATGCTATTTGAGAAACCAGGGATCCAACCAGGCTGGTCACTTGCTTCCCCAGCTTCCCAGGGAGAGTGTCAAAGAGTAACTCAGACCTGTACGTTACTTGCAAATTTTTTTCTCACATGTGTGGATATCAGTTGACAGACTGAGTCAAAAAACAAAGGCCAAACCAGGATTTCAAATAGAGGAAAGCTGCTGACAATCTTGGACAAGGACTCTTATCAGCATGTTTTGGGGGCAAGGTGATTGCTGGGAGGGAGCAGAGGTCCTTGAGGGGACCAACAGCGGCCTCAAAGTGAACTCTTCCTGTTGTTTTGGGGAGTCTCTGGGATTTGGCAGTGGGGCCCGTGCAACCTCCTCCAGCACCACGCCCATCAGCACCTCCCCTCTGGGCCAGACTGGTGCCATTTCTTTCAGAATTTCTGAGGCCAGTTCTGCGCTGACCCCCAAACTGTATCCTCCACCCCCACCTCCTGCCCCTGCCTCAGGGGCAGCTCGCCTCCTGTCAGGCGACAGCCTCCTTTTCTCCACACTTGAGCCCGCTTGGAGATGGACCCCAGGAGCAAGGCATGCTGTGAAGGAAAGCTCTCCTTTCCCCAACTGAGCGCAGCCAACAAGCTCGCTCAATAAAATCGGTGCTAAGCATGAGGTGATGGGGGATTTTTGTCTGTAACTGATGCACTTGTTTGCCGCTAGCTCCGATCCTAAAAGGCCTTGTGGGATGTTTCCAATCGTGAGAACTTCAGGTGTGCTAAGTGCCGTGCAAGAAACAGAGGTGGGCTTTGAGAACCCAGAGACGGGCTACAAGGGCTCACCCAACAGCTCCTGTGCCCGATCTCAGCTGTTCTCCCAGCAGCTCTCACGGAGGCACTGTCATCACTGCCATTTAGTCCAGACAGAAACGGGCTCAGAATTTAAAAGGCCTGCCCAGCATCACCTGGCCAGGAAACAGGGGAAGCCGGACTTATACCAGACATTGGGTTCCAAAGCCTGATGATACAAGCTCAGCTCCCAAATTTTCAAACCTAACATGGCCAAGCACATGATCGCGTGAGGGCAGCATCACGCTCAGTGCCATTTTCCAAGGGAGGAAACTGAAGCCTGAGGGGGAAGCAAATATACCCAGAGTCACAGAACAAGGAAGAGGTGGAGGCAGGATTTGAAGCCAGGTGTGTGTGAGTCTGAGAATAACAGAAGAGCAGCACGCACCATTAATCCTCGCAACACCCCTTCGTGGCCAACATTACAATTACTGCCACTTTTCAGATGAGGAAGCTTGACAGCAGGGCTTTCGTGCCCAGGCCCTCAGCCTGCAGGAAGGGGAACTGGGCCTCAGTGCTGCCCACTAACTCCAAAGTTTAAAACAGAGTGGCCACTGCATGTGTTATACACATAAAGCACCCAGTTTAATCTTCACCAAACCCAACAAAGGCGATACTGCAAGTGGAGCTATTTTTTTCTGCAGGAGGAAACTGAGGCCAGAGGGGATGTCGGTGCCCAAGACCACACAGAGGGCAAATACCATGCAAATACCACAAGGGGGGGGGGGGCGTGTCTCTGTGTTTATTGCAACCCCTTCCCAGTAGATGGCACTACAGTGTCTCGTCCCAGCAGAAGAGGTCCCTGGCGCCAACATGGAAACCAAGGGTGCTGGGAGAGGGGCGCCTTTTTTCTGACTCACACCCAGGACCACTATGGGTTAAGGGTGGTCCTGATGGAAGAGGCGGCCAGGCTTTGAACCACGACCAGCTACTTCTAGAGTTGTACTAGCTTCCCAAGGACACTGCAGGGGCCCCAAGGGGAAGGTTTTGTTCTGCGGTGATCACCCACCCGCCGTGTCCCGGGGGAGGTGGGGAGGGAGTCACTTCTTCTTCTGCACGTGGCCACAGTCGTACTTGCCCCGCACGACGGTGAGCTTGACGCCGGGCAGGTCCTGCGTGCGGCCGCCCTGCACGAGCACGATGTGGTGCTCCTGCAGGTTGTGGCCCTCTCCGGGGATGAAGCAGACGGCCTCCCGACCGGTGCTGAGCCGCACGCGGCAGCATTTGCGGTTGGCCGAGTTGGGCTTCTTGGGCTTGCGGACGAACGTGCGCAGGACCACGCCCTTCAGCTGTGGCCGGCCCTCCGTGGGGCCCACTTTCGTAGGCGGATGCTTTGGAGGCCCCCGGCGGTGCATCTGGTTCAGGGTGGCCATGGGACGCGGGGCCCAAGGCCGCGGGGCCAGGGCTAGGCCTGGAGAGACACAACCGGGAGGGCCGCGGTTATTATCCCAGTGAACAGATGATAGCATCAGCCACTCCGCTCTGGTGTTGTCGGCACCGTTCCAAGCACTTCGCCAGGGTGCATCTGTTTACGGCTGGGGTACTCACGGCTGAGAGTAATATAACATTTATGGAGTAACCACCACGTGTCAGGTCCTATTTTAAGCATTTTCTATGAATTAACTCATTTTATTATGCAAAGAAGACATTAATTTTAATGCTGTTTAAACAACAATAAACGCAAACAGGCTCCCACTGTGTCCTGTACTGTTCTATGCATTGTACCTACGTTAATTCATGCTGCTCCACAGCGACCCCAAGGGGTATCCCTGGGAGGTGTCACTCCTCCTCCTCCCGTCGCACCCTCTCCTGTCCCGGTGAGCAGATCCTATCAACTGAACCTTCACAACTGATCAGAATCCCTTTTCTCCCTCCCCCATGGCATCCACCCTGGTCCTGTCCACCCCCGTCTCCCACTGGACTCTCCTGTCCTCCTTCCTCCTCCTCCCAGGTCTCCCGACTCCTACTGTCTGCTCCCCACTCGAAGCCACAGGGACCCCATGGACACCTGGGTCAGATCACATCCCTCCCCTGCTCAGAGCCCTCTTGTGGCTCCATCTCAGTGAGGGTAAGAGCCAAATTCCCCCCCGGGGGCCCACGAGGCCCCACCACGAGGCCCCACATGGTCTGCGAGCTATCTCTCTGACCTCATCTCCTCACTTGCCCCCTCGTTATCCCTGCTCCAGCCTCAGCCTGTGTCCACAAACACATCAACAGAAAGGAGGGCAGTGTGGCTGCAGTGCAGTGAGAGGAAAGGCAGGTGGGGGAAAAGGGCAGGAATATGGTTTAAGGTAGATGACAGGATGTGCTCATAGACAGGAAATAGGACATAAAAAGACTCAAACAACTGGATTCTCTTCGACAAACATTCATTGAGCACCTACTGTGTCTTGGCCCCAATCAATAATGGAGACGCAGTGGTGACTGAGACAACCCTGGGCCATGTCCTCTTGGAGCTCCCAGGCCAGAGCTGTGAGGTGCATCCTCTCTCTGTGTCACTAGCACGAATGCCCTCTCACACCCAAACGTCACACTCCCCTCCAGATTCAGGGCAGGTCCTGGCCCTACAGTCCATTTCCATGTGTCCTTATGCCTCAAGTTACAGCACAATCCTCAGAGAGGACGAGACATTCCTAGAAGTCTCTTCCGACGGGTCTGCCCTTGACCAAGACTGTTCACCTCTCAGTGCCTCAGTGTCCTCATCTGTATGGTGCACCACAGTCAGGTCTCCCTCCTGAGCACCGTGTGTGAGAGGCTTCCATGAAATATGCATGTCAAGCCAGCCCAGATTCCCCAAGCAGGGCACAGATCTGTCTTGTCCAGTCCTGTGACCCTTGGTGAATAAAGGTCTGCAGAGTGACTGAGTGGAATATTTCTCATAAGGGCATGGCCCAGGAGAATCATTTGATGTTTGTGGAAGAACTAGGTTCATAAATAAAGTGTCCCTCTCAGTGCCTGGCATGTAGTAGGCTCTTGAAAAACATCAGTTGGGGACTTCCCTGGCGGTCCAGTGGTTGAGACTCCACGCTTCCACTGCAAGGGTGCAAGGGGCGCGGGTTTGATCCCTGATCAGGGAACTAAGATCCCACAAGCCGTGTGGCTCGGCCAAAAAAAAAAAAAAAGGAAAAGAAAACGTCAGTTGAATGAATGACTTCAAAGTCTTGCTTGGATGTCTCACCCATGGGAAGTATTTAATATCATTTGCTGAAAAAAATAATTGACCCGAACTCCTGATACCCACCAGACGCCTAAATGCTACTTCCTACCTCTTGCCCTTACAACCCCAGCTCCGCCGAAACTCGGGGCTATGGCAGAGGGACACAAGTCCCAGGGGAAATAACCCTCACGCAGCCTCGTCTCTGCAGCCCAAGCCCCCCATTTACCATGATTTAGGGACGTGCGGAGGCCACGGAGAAGGCCGGACCAGGACATCCCGCCGCCGGCAGCGTCCCTGTGTTAGGGGATAAGAGACTCATTAAGCAGGAGGAGGGGAAAGTGGCCGTAGTCGGGGGAGGGTCCAAATTCTCCCCATCCCACTCTCGGAGCCTTCCGGTTAAATCTAAGGAATTTCCTCTCACTGTAAAACTACAACCACTAACGCTGCTAACAGAAAATCCCTCCGTAAATTTAGTCTTGCTCTGAATAGGCTGTCCCAACCGCCCCCGCTCACAAACAGAAGGAAACTAGAAACTGAGAGGAGGCCCGGGAAGTTTGGAGGACCCGAGAACTCTGTCGACCTTACCGACCCTAGCCGGGTCCACAAACACGCCGAACCTGGCCTCTAGCACAGTCTGAGGATTATCCCGGCAGGGATTGGCTGGTTCTGCCTCTCCCGTACACTGAAGGGGCGGGGAACAGACGACGATTGGGCAACGACAGTGTCAATCTCGGTCAACTGTTCTCGCTGATCTTTTTTCTTGAGGCATGGGAGAGGGCTCACCCCTTCCAGGCTCTGATTGGCTAGTCCCAAGAATAGCTGCTTTGCAATTAGTCTAAACGCGTAGTGGGCGGGACGAAGAGTGCGTGACTCTTCGTCCCCCTTCCAAGATGGCTGCGTCCATAATGCGGCGCTTGTGGCCTCTGGTGGCTGCTCGGGGCCTGCGGCTCCGGGGAGGCTGCGTTTGCAACCAGAGCCCAAGGAGAAGTTTCGCTACGGAGAGACGAGACCGGAACCTGCTGTACGAGCACGCGCGTGAGGGCTACAGCGCGCTCCCTCAGCTGGACATGGAGCCGCTGTGCGCATACCCGGAAGAGGCCGCGCGCGCCCTGGAGCTCCGCAAGGGGGAGGTGCGGTCGGAGGATCTGCCCGCGATCGTGAGTGCGCTTGCGCCGGCCGGTGGTTGCGAGGCCGGGCCGCTTTGTCTATTGGCTGTTCGTTTTACGGACGAAATGGGCTAGCAAGAAACTCTCCAGCAGGGGGCGATCTTATCGCAGGAATTTTAGTTCCTTCCCAAGTTTAGCCAACGTGTTGTACTTGGCACCTAACTACGTGCCAGTCAGCCAGAGTGCTAAGGCCCTACTGTATAGATACCCATGATGCGCTTGCCCCATAAAGCGTGCTGGGTACCCACTCTGCGTTAGGAACTTACTGTCTGTCAGTGTCCTCTGTGCTTAGACCTCATGCCAGGCTTATCCTAAGGCCACGAAGGAAAATGGAGGACAGGGATGTGAATCAGCGGCGGGGGGTGTGAATCAGCGGTAGGGGCGGGGCTTGCCTCTTGCCTTCGGAGAATGAGAGGTAGAGTTGTGCACCTACCCCACTGGTAGTAGGCAGTTAGATAGTGTTATTTAATGAATGAATGTGCTTTTGAACAGATATGTAGGGAGCACCC